TATTTTCTGGTCGCGGGATCGAACAGGTACGTTTTGCGGGAGGTTGGCCATTTCGGTCCAATACGAAGGGGTAGCGCTCTGAAACTTGCGAGGGAGATTTACGTGAGCCAAAACAGGCCTGAATTAGTTTTTCATTTTCAATAAGAATTCAGTGACCAGCCAAACAACTGTATTGATATTGATGTTAGATGATTACCAAATCCATTTCCTAGGCTTCAATGGAGACATCCAAACGCAGTGTATGTGAATTATGCAATCTTATCTTTTTTAACCAGCCATAATATAAGTGAAATATGCAATGTCATCTTATTTAGCCAGACATCATATATTTGAATTATATCTTGTCTTTCTTTTTTCATTACATTTTTAGTTGTCGTCAATGTTTATAACCTCACTGTCGAGGGGCCTGAACCTATATACAAATTGTCACTGCGTCTCATAAGATCAAAGCTCCTTTCCCCTACCTCTCTTACTGTCATTTTTTTCCCCACCACACCGTTTGTTTGAATTATTTTATATGAAAATTTATCCGTTGAACAAACATGCAGAAAATACTTCACGTGTTGTGATTTTCTGTCAAACAGAATTAGTATTTTGTAAACAAAACAATTTTGCGGGCTGTAGCACCGCTGCCCTGGAGTCACGGTGAGTTTCTGGTTCATCGACCACTTCTTACTCTCTACGTTAACCCTAACTCGGTGCTTTGATCCCGCAATTGATGCATGCACGCATGTGAAGCGGTACTCACAGTGTCTCATTCGCGTCACCATGCGCTCTGAGACACAGCACCGCTATTCGCTAGCAGGCAGGGGGGCGTGCTGGTGCTGGTCATCCCCAGATCATTTTGAGGACAGCCAGGAGGAAGAAGACGACGCTGGTTTCAGTTCTCCTTTTTGGCTCCGTCCAGCATTTGCTGCGGTTTACTGTCGCTGTCCCGCCCCCACAGTCACACAGCCGCTGATGCGCTGCTGCTCCATTGCGCGCGGCCTCGCTGCCATTCCACTCCACTGCACACGTGATCACGTCTGTCCACTGTGCCAAACTGGAACGGACGCCCGCTCCTGCTCTCAACAGTGACGTACATAAATGTCTCTGACCACCCCCTGCGCGCCTCAACGTTGCTCTCGTTACTAAATTATATAGTGTGACCAAAATACAATGCATCATGAAATTGGGTGTCTACCACAGGCACATGGTCAGGAGCGCACAGCTTATCGATCGTCTCTGGAATCTGATGCTACTGGAATTTAGCATGAATCACGAAGCAATCAAGTGGCTTAATATCACCATGTCCTTAACTTCGTTTCAGAAAAAAGAATCATTATGTCCTTAATTGCAGGAGAAAAGGGACATGCGGGCGCCTAATAATGAGCACTCCTATAGCAGCGATCTCATCAGACCATCACCAATAGATCAGCACCAGCACATGATGAATGTTCGATCCAGTAGTAATTTCGTAGTAGTAAGTATCGATCCTCTGAAACCATTAAACTCTGCAGGCAGACAGGCAAGGCAGAGGCACTACATCTGTTACATGATGGTAAAAAGAGGAAGGAAGCTGATCCTGCATCAAAAGGGCAGAAAGGCACCGTCTGGCCAAGTTCAATAACGGGAACAAAGCGAAAGCAGTCGCATTACCATGCCGATCCCCGAAAAGGATCTCCGGCGATGCGGATGTCGCGGCTGACGGGATCGCAAACCCGATGTGTACGCCTCCTTCCTGCGGTCCGTTGCATTGTCCTCTCAAATGTGCCCACCGGTTCCTGGCCTGCCTGTGAAGCTTTGAATGTTCTGCACCTACCGGGTAACTGAAACCTCCCGGTTTCATCAGGTTTTAGGCCCCGTTCGATGCAAAGGTTTGTAAAACCATAAAACACTATAAAATGGAGGAATGGCATGGGGATGGAGTGGTAAAACTCTGGAGCTAGAATCCATAGGAGAACTGAAAGAGACGCGTTCGGTGAGAGCATGTGAAGGCACAGGAAAGGTAGGACCCAGTAGCACCTCTTTGCCAGATTTTTTCCTTATCAAATGTGTTTTTCCGTGTGTGGTGCCTCCACGTGGCAGCTGTGGGGTCCTATTTTAGCAAGACAACAAAGTCACATCAACTTTCCTTCACTTCCCCTCGTGCTTCCGCCCAGAAAATGCGTTCATACTGGATGTTTTTCTTCCTGTAAAAATGGAGGCAGCCACAACTTTCCTTTGGAACCTGAAGAGTCGAATCCTGTGGACCGAACGCAGATTTGGGAAACTTTCCGGTGGTTTCTTATTCCTCTGCACATATCCTGTAAAATTCCTATGTACCGAACGCACCGTTAATGCAAGAGCACAGGCCGTTCACTCATCCTCTGAATATATCCATCCCAGGTCTGTTAGTAAAACTTTGTTTCCCATGTCACTGCATCTACACCTAGCACGGTATAGACCACCAACCCTCCTGGTAGCATCAGCATGCATGTCGCTCTAAAAGCGACGATGATGCCGCAATTTGTTGCATCAAAAGAATGATGGTAGTATGGGACAAAGCTAAAGAAGACACAATCATCCTTGACCAAAAGATTAACCGCCCCAATGCGCCCTTTAGGTTTTAGGCTCTCCAAGCAAGAAAACTCCCGAAACATTAGTAGGGAATTGCAAGGGATTCAACACCAAATCTGCCTTGAGAGTGCGGCTCTTGGGTTTTAGTAGTACTGGTCTCATTGTCGCCACTAGGAAATTGGACGGTGATTCCCGGGGAAACTTCCTCACGTGGGAGCAGGGGCTTGGCATTATGATTCAGGTAACATGAGCTGCGACGGAAACATCGTTCTCATTTTTAATACGCCAAGCGGCGACAAAACTCCCTCCGATCTAAAAAAGTTTCGCGGTTCTGAACCGGGCTTAGTTTAAAACCAGGACATTTATTATGAATCGGGCAGTAGTATTACGTATTAGCCACGAGTGGCCAAAAGGGGATGAGCTTAACAAAATTTCGGCAACTACTCCAGTACTGTGCTTCAAGAGCCCAACTGTTGGACATGGAGATGGCAGGAAAAGGGGATGAGCTTAACAAAATTTTGGAAACTAGCACTGTACTTGATCAAGAGCTAAACTGTTGGGCTTGGGCATGGCAGAAAAAATGGTCGGGTAAACCTGGCCTTATTAAGAGCCCTCGGCACAGTGCTGGGGCAACGCCTCCCATCAAAAGAAGAGCAAAAGACCAAAGCAAACGACACAACCATCTTTGGGCAAAAAATCATGAGCCAGCCGGCCCATCTAGGATCCCAAAGGACGAAACTCCTCGACACATTTCGACATTAACGAAATCGACACGACAACCACTTTGAATGTTTAGCTCTCCATTTCTGCCTTCGAGATGCCCCGGGAAACTTCCTCGCATGAAAGATGATGTCCCAGTGCCCGCCTCATCTCATCACCATGCCTTCGTGCACGGAGACCGATGCAGCATTGCTCTGCCTCAAAGGCGCCGGTGGTGTAGGCTGCAGCTCTTGTATCTTCTCACCAGTGACTGCTTCTCACGGTCTCTCACCCTCGCCTCTGCGGCTCTGCCTCTCCTTTTTCTTCCGAGTACTGTACCATGGATCAATCATGCAAAGCCTTTATGGTCTTTGGCGCTTTGGCTCTTCGTTTGCGGCTTTGCTTTGGCCTCAAAGCTGACGTTTAGTCCGTTTCGAAAAGAAGGAGAAAAAGACGGTGTTTAGATTGGTCTTGGATCTCCGAAAGCTGGCATGGCGGTCAGCGACACTGCTGCTGCTGCTGCAACCAGTGGGCACCTCACTGCTCCGCCCAGTTCGTTGCACCAGTGGCGTGGCATGGCAGTGTAGTGTAGCTACCACTCACTGACTGCCACCGTGTCAGTGGCAAAACAGTGCGTGTGAACATGGTGGACTCGGTGTCATCTTCTGTGTGTCTTCGGCTTCGAGGCTGGGATGCGAGCGTGCTCGCAGATGCAGCCTGGTTTCAGCTCTCTTGTGCTTGTTGTGGCAATGGCTCAAGATGCTTTCGCTGACTTTTCACTGATGTACGTACTTGGTGTGCATTGCTGCCCACCTCTTCCAGTCAGTTCCTTGTGTTTTGCGTTCTGACCTTTCACTTTAGTAAATAATAATAGGTCGATGTGTTGGACTGTATGATTATGACCAACTGGCTGGCAAACGAGAATACAATGCACTTCGGCAGCTACAGTACATATATAAGCTTCTTAAATGCCTCTGGCCAATTTAGTTGTTGCTACTATTCCAACAACAGGCAACGAGACAAGTGTTCCTATCTTTCCCGGGAAGTTCACACCAGCTATAAGCTTGATGGGGGTATTTCTCTGATTAACTATGGTGCTTGATTCAAGTTCAAACTATATCTTGAAACGACCGAAGAGATAGATGTCATCTTTATTGAAGTAATCGTCTTTTTCTTAGAGCTTGTAAGCGTTTGTAACTCATGTGAAAATGCAAGAGTATATTTCAAGATTTTTTTAAAAAATGACAAGAGAAAGAAAGAAAAAGTTAAATCTTCAGGCCAAACTCAAAGCCCGTAATAATATTTCAGTCCCATTGGCTCGTACAGCTTCCCCCAATGGAATTTCTGACTGCAGACGGCTGTGTTTCGTTGTTAATGAAACACTCATCTGGCAGTTTAGCACCAGGTACCAAATGGGAGAAACATGATATAGTGCTAAGCTCAAATAATACATGTTGAGTTACATTCAACCCAGGGAACCGGGGTAACAAAACCAAGATAAATTGACTCCTAACAACCAAACATACCGTTCAATCCAGGGGTAACAGAACCCAGATAATTCAGCATCCATCCGTCAGAGATACTGCTTCGATATCTCAACTGAACAAGCCGCAAAAAAGGCCATATGTAGCATAAGAGGCAGCGCAAACTCCACGCCTCCGCCGAACATATTGGAAACCTTCTCTGCTTCTGATTTTGGCATGGGGCACTCGTCTCGGACGGTGGGAAAACCATTCACAACAGGTAGCCTCTCAATGTTCAGATCAGTCATCCTCTGTGTCGTTTGCCTTCTGCTTCTTCCACTTGTAAGCAGCTTCCAATATCTTGAGGTTCGGGGCCAGCGTGACTTCATCAGGGAAGATATAATCAATGTACTCCTCGTACCTGGCAGAGCAAATGATGTCAGTATATTTCTAAATTGCTGGGAAACAAGCACAAAAGTATTACTCTACTAATATTGTTAGCGCTAGTTATTTTATCCTGGGTTCTAAATTCTTAACAGAATTCAGACCGCGCATGGCCACATAGCATGCTAAACGTGGCAAGCCACAAACTTCTGATAATACAATAGTACCAAGAATAAAGAACTGGGTAAATAGCATACGCAATATTGGAGCCGTCGTCTGTGGGGAGTGGTCTCTTCCTCTTCACTTTCCTTGGCGCCTTCTTCTGCACTAAAGTGACATCACCAAGATCACCAAAGCTCAACTCTTTTTTGAGCCACTCTTCCAGGAGCATTGCTCTTTCTTCTTTTAGCTCTGCAGCATTGGTCCTGAAGTAGTCGAATGCCCTTTCAAAGACAGCTGACCACCATAACACAGCAATGTCAGATTTAATGCACCATTAATTGCAAACTTGAACATAAAAAAAGACGTACAGAAGCCCAAAGTAGGCTCTCTAGCTCGTTACTCACCCCGACACCTCCGGACCCGCTCTGTCTGCTGTTCCTGATAACCAGCATCATTCTTATTCTCCTCACTTCCATCGTCTTCTCCCAAGCCAGCTGAGGCCTCAAATTCAGCAAAGCTGATCCATACCTTCAAGTGCTTTGTTCTATCAAGCAATCTCTCATAGAGTTCTCTTGCTCTATCAAATTCATCTTCGTCAATTTCAAATTGCAAGTACTCCTGCAAGTTAAAAGGAAGAAGATTTAGTAAGCATCCCTAATAACTAAAATCACAAGTAGACCTGGAAGTAAAAGACACTAAAGTGATTCAGTTAAGCATATGTCGATTTTCTTAAAAGCACAATTTTTCTGGATGTCTCAAATGTAACATTAACATCTACTCCCTCCGTCCGGAAATACTTGTCATCAAAATGAATAAAAGGGGATGTATCTAGATGTATTTTAGTTCTAGATACATCCCCTTTTGTCCATTTTGATGACAAGTATTTTCGGACGGAGGGAGTAACAAGGATGAATGCTGCATCTTATAGAAAAAAATTGGAAACGATTCCTAAGAATAAAAGGTCCATGTCATAAAACACATTATTTGGACATAATATATCAGATGACAGCACACTGGGTATTCTCACTTAAAACTGTAGCTAAGAGATCAAAAGCATACAACAGCACAAAGAAGTGTGTGTATTCAGTTGCTGACTGGACAAATATAGCTCCATTGGCTCTGCTTTGCTAGGGAGAAGACTGAAGAATACAAGTCAACAAAGTCCCACCTAGACCTACACAAAAGGGACCTCAACTATGTCGATTCTGAGCACTGTCCAGCAGTTGTTTCACAAATACTCCGTAAGTTATTAAGCATTCAAGCAACTTGATAGAGTGCAGAGGATGAAGAGGCATGGTTTAAAAATGCTAAGGTAGTTACTACTACCTGATAGTTTTTAGCTGGCAGGATATAATGCAAAGAAATAACAGATTCAGCGAAAACAATTAACACTCCTAAGTTAAATTTTGTAAGAAAAAATAGCAAAGGCTGGTCTTCGGTTTTCCAGAACAAATAATGAAGCACAACCCCTTTTTCCATGAAAATAAACTAATTCAGGTAACGCTCGAAATAGTGTAGAGCTCAACAACACACCCGGCGAAGATCGATCTCTGATCCCTACTGTCTACTCTCTAGGTGGCATGTTAACATGTTACTCCCTCCGTTTTTATTTACTCTGCATGTTAGCTTTGACCGAAGTCAAACTTTATAAAGTTTGACCAAGTTTGTAGAAAACAATATGAACATTTATAAAAAATCTATATGATGTGAAAATATATTCAATGATGAATCTAATTGTATTGATTTAGTGGTATATATGTTAATATATTTTTCTACAAACATGGTGAAAGTTTATATGTGACTTTAGACAAAGCTAATATGCGGAGTAAATAAAAACAGAGGGAGTACAAATTAACCATCATATCACATCACAGCACACATGAACAAAGGTGGCAAATAATACACACATACTCCCATGCATAAACACTGGAACTATTTAGATATATGAACAGATCAAATATGATACTCCCTCCGTTCACAAATATAAGATGTTTTGGATATTTCAATATGGACTACATACGGGCTGAAATGAGTGAACAAACAGACTAAAATGTGTCTATATACATCCGATTCAGAAAATAGTTAGAACATCTTATATTTGTGAACAGAGGGAGTATAAATCAACGTTAACATAGAACTTCATGAGCGCTTATTTGAGGCATATAAGAATGTATAGGAAAATATATTCAATACTTCCACTCAACAAAACATAAAACTTGGACCAATTAAGAGGACGGCGAGGACAACATACCTTCCATAGAACTTCAGGTGTATCAAGGGCTGGCTGGGCGATAGCAAGCTCATATATTGATCGAGCACGATCAGTCTCACTAAGGTTCTTTTCCAGTTCGGCATACTTCCTCCAGGCATAACAATTTGCTGGAGACCATTCGATGTATTTTTCGTACAAAGTTCTACAGCGGTCAAAGTTGCCCAGATAAAGCTCGATCTCAATGTACTTCTTAAATATTTTCCCCTTCGGTGCCATACCTATTGCATTACCGAGAATCTGCCGTGCAGCCTTTATGTTCTTCTGTCTTATCTCAAACTGCGCAGCCATCAGCCATAGCTTAGCAAAGGTAAATTTCTTGTGTGGAATGAGTTTCAGACATTCCCTATAGACCTCCCGGGTCCTTTCCATGTCCTGTGCATCAAGTTCCTCATACAAAGCATAGTTTATCCAAAGGTAGATATACCTCTGCCAGTACCGCTTCTCTTCCGCAGGAGGAACATTTGCGATACTCCTCTCGTACACATCTCTGATCCTGTCCTTATTCCCGACGCTCTCCTCCAGCCTGATGTAATCAAACCATGAGTCGTAGTTGAGTGGATTCTTCCTCACCTCATCTTCATATTGGAATCTCCGCTTGCCCACAATAGCATCCTCAATCCCCTCACGGTCACCAAATTGTTTCTCAAATGCCAAGAATTTCCTGTAAAGATCCTCAGCCCTGCCCTTAGGCACTCTGTCAAGGGCATACTTGTATATCGCACGAGCACGCTCCACCTCCCGACACTTTTCCTCGAACTCAGCAAATGCTACAAACAGCACCTCTGCATCTTCATCATCCACAAGCAGGTCCGCTGCACGCTCATACACACGCCGCGCCCGCTCCACTTCTCCACGTTTCATCTCAAACTTTGCATATCGGATGAACGTGTCAGGCCGCGGGTGCTCCGCGACAAATCGCTCATAGATTGCCCTAGCTCGCTCAACCTCCCCATATCGCAGCTCAAACTTGATGTACGAGTTCCAGCCAGCAATATCGGGACGCCATCCCATCCAGCGCTCAAAGACCTGGCGAGCATTGGCGACGGCACCAAGCAGCTCCTCCATGTGGATATACTTGTACCACAGCTGGTCGATGCGGGGGAGGAGCGAGACGGCACGGTCCCAGACGTTCCTGGCATGGTTGACATAGCGGTTGCGCATCTCGAACTCGGCATACTTGAGCCACAGGGTGTGGTCGCGGTGGGCGACGTCCAGGGCGCGCTCGTAGACGGAGCGAGCCCGGGCGAAGTCCTTCTGGCCCTCCTCCCACTTGGCATACTTGACCCACGCCGATACGCTCCAGCGGACGCGGCGAATGAGGTCCTCGAACCTCTTGCGCTCGCGGAGCCGGTAGTCCGCGAGCTCGTGGACGTCGGTGATCTTCTGCTTGGGCGGGCGGATCTCGGGCTCCTGCCGCTCCCGGGCCTCCCGGAGGATCTGCTCGGCGGTAATCTGGACCCCCGCGGGCGTCTTGTTCTTCACCCGCGTCGCGCGGGGGAGCTTGACCTCCGTGTCGCGCTTCGTGAGGAAACCGAGGCTCGCGTCGGGAGCCGGCGGAGGCTGCGCTTGGTCGGCGCCGCCGCCGCCGCGGGTGGTGAGCGCCATGGCGGCTGGTGTCTGTGCTAGGGTTAGGGTTTTGGGAGGAGGAGAACAATGGGAGGAGGGGGCAAGGGACGGGGTGATTGGATTTTAGGTCCGCTCGTACGCGCGGACGGCGGCGCAGCGAAGCTCGATGCCGGAGTGGGCCGGAGGAAGGCGAGGAGATGGGGCGGAGGAAGGCGGCGCGAGGGGCGGGGCAGATCGAGCGAGGCCGAGCGGCTCGGCTCGATTTGGGGTTCGGTCTTTGCTGGATGAGGGGTTATCTGTAAAACGTAGGAGTAGTTTAAGTGCTCGTGTTGGAATTTATCACGACGAGATGAATATGGACCTCAATATTATACTACTCGAAAACCACCTACTATAAAACACTAATCGAATATCCGGACACCACTGAGTGAGATGAAGAAGGGGAAGATATCCTGTGATACCAACCATCATATGATACCATGTCATAAAAATCAAATTTACATGTTTCAAAATTTCTAAGAAAAAATATGAATCTTCACAAGACATATGTCTACTAGCCCTAAAAAAAAATCAGATTCGAATTTGAAATGCAAATTGAGAAATAAAAAAGAAAAATTCAGCATGAATAGTGTAACAAAAAGACAAAAACACAAATGTCACTTCACGTGTGGAATTGTCTTTTTTCTTTCTCCATGTATATTTTGATTTTGGATTTAAATTTTTAGGGATTATAGGAACATGTCTTGTGCACATTCATGATTCTTTTGGAATTTTTTGAAACATCAAAATTTGAGTTTCTAAACGTGGTATCATGGTATCATGTCGTGGTTGGTATCATGTGATATCTTCCCCGTGAAGAAGGTAGTGAAAGCTAATTTTGTTCCTCTGAATGCCCGAGCCATTATGCAGATCTCTACGAAACAAATGTTCGTGAAAAGGGTCAAATCTATTATAAAGATTCACCAGAAATGAAAAACACCTCAAACATAATACATCGAGGTCCATGGACCATTGTCGCCACCAGTCGCCGACACGCCGCTGTCGGCGCTCCCATACCGGAGCCGGCTTCGATGACAGCCGGGAAGTGTTTGTGCACGTGCTCCTAAGGACCAGCGCCCTGGAGCCGCAATCGTCGCCATTGAACCCTTGAGTAGATCTGGAGAACCTCACACCAAATATCGTCGTTGCATAAGCAAGACGAGAAACCCTAACCTCGCTACCCCGAGAAGCTGGCAGGAATTTACGTCGGAGCTCCGTCTAATCCGTCCCACCGGACGAACTTGAGGTGGACCAGAGCCCGGAAGTCTGACTCGTAGAAGAAGCGTGGCCATCTGTCCAAACGCCGCCCCTTCGAGGACTGAAACCCTACCTATCTACTAGCTAGATTCGAGGCACCAGAAATTTCTCCCCGCCATCAGTCGCCTGAGCGGTATGCGGAGGGGAGGCGAATCCATGGACTCGCCGGTGGAGATCGAGGGGAGGAAGGCTTTTTCTAGTCGCCTTGCATGAGGGGCCTTACGAAACAACTTGCAAAGTATTTATGGGTTTGGCGGTTGGAGAGGCGTGATATTTTTTTTAGTAAGATCGGTCTATAGAGTACTTCTTGAGGCTAACACCGTGATCAGTCCAAGTAGTGAGCTTGGGTGGATCTAAACGTGCTTTCTAGACGAATCTATGAAAAATGCAAGTGCCCCCAAAAGTCTGCAACTTCTAGTGGAGGGTGAAAAAGAAATTTATACTTTGTCATTCCATACTCGGAGATAGACACATTGAACATATTCCATTGTATTAGTCATGTGGACAAGAGGAAACCATCAAGCACACAATGTCTGAGTGTACGTGGACGAAACTTTTTTGGCAATAGCTCATGGAAGTAACAGAAGTGAAAGTTGCGGAATGGGTGACGAATATAATAGATGCAACAAGATCTTGGCTAAAGATGCGTTTGTCATTTTATGCTGAGGGTGGTTTTTGTGGTCAAAGAGGACTGCACGACATCATGGTAAACATGTCGCTCTGTCTCCTGATTAGTCAAATGGACAACTAATCTAGCTATGGACATCGGTATCATTGGAACATCTTCTAGATTGTGTGCCGAGAAGATTAAAGTCAAGTGGGAAGGATCGGCTGAAGGTATGCTTAAAATCAATGTGGATGCTAGATTCTTGTAGCGCACATTGGAAGGTGCCACTAGGCTGGTGTTACGAGACAATACCGGTTCCTTGCTACAGGGTCAAACTATTTGGTACGGCCAAGCTACCAATGCAATGATCATGGAGACCCTTACAGTTCATGATGGTGTATTGCGATCTAGGATTATCGCACATTGCTTTGATGCCAAGGAGGTGTTCACACTTTGGAGGGAAAGAGAACATGGAGGATATGCGATTGCTTCGATTCTCAATGAGATTGAAGAGATTAGCGGGAACTTGGAGTTCTTCCATGTGAACTTCATTGGTCGAGATGCCAGTGAAGGGGGCACATCTTTGTGCCCAACACGCTTCAGCTAGTAGACGGAGATATCTTTGAAATAATTATGTACCTTCATTTTTTGTTGATTGTCTGCAAGATGATTATAACCCCGTTGATTAGTGAATGAAAGTTCTTGATTCGCAAAATAAGTAACCAAATTTGAAATGAGTGTCTACTCAATTTGGCCAAGATCAAATATAAATTTATAATACCGTGTACATGTGCACGGCACACCATCTCTTGCCCCGTCGCAATGCAGCAGCAACCGTAAAACGGGTACATGATTGTTAATTTGCTCTCTATAGTTTCCTTTACAGCCTCTTCTCACACCTCACCCGAAGAGTCTTTTAGTATTCTAGCTTTGTTTTTTAGGTGTTCCTCACCCAATGTGCTCCTTCGTGATCACCCTCGCCCCCATCGACTCTCCAGTTACCTCGATGTCGGCTTAGTCTCGATTTTGTCCCAAAAGCACACTTTACAGATAACCTCTCATGTATTGTTGTGGTAGACAAGTCTCGTATTCTTCCACACATTGGATTGGCATTGGGTGTGAGAATTCCATGTTTTTGTCAAATGTTTGAGGTCTCACTTTATCTTCTTCTTGGCGAGCTTGCCTACAAGCTTCAGATCCCATTCTTTCCGATGTTGGGGCGTGGTGGTTTTGAAGGAAATATGCCTTAGAGGCAATAATAAAGTTGTTATTTTATATTTCCTTATTCATAATAAATGTTTATTATTCATGCTAGAATTGTATTATCCGGAAACTTGATACATGTGTGAATACATAGACAAAACACTGTGTCCCTAGTATGCCTCTACTAGACTAGCTCGTTGATCAAAGATGGTTAAGTTTCCTAGCTATGGACATGAGTTGTCATTTGATGAACGGGATCACATCATTAGTGGAATCATGTGATGGACAAGACCCATTCGTTAGCTTAGCATAATGATCATTCAGTTTTATTGCTACTCCTTTCTTCGTGTCAAATATATATTTCTTCGACTATGAGATTATGCAACTCCCGGACACCGGAGGAATGCCTTGTGTGATATCAAACATCACAACGTAACTGGGTGATTATCAAGATGCTCTACAAGTATCTCCGAAGGTGTTTGTTGGGTTGGCATAGATCGAGATTATGATTGGTCACTCCTAGTTTCAGAGAGGTATCACTGGGCCCTCTCGGTAATGCACATCATATGAAGCCTTGCAAGCAATGTGACTAATGAGTTAGTTATGGAATGATGCACTATGGAACGACTAAAGAGACTTGCCGGTAACGAGATTGAACTAGGTATGAGGATACTGATGATCAAATCTCGGGCAAGTAACATACCGATGACAAAGGGAATAACATATGTTGACATTGCGGTTCGACCGATAAAGATCTTCATAGAATATGTGGGAACCAATATGAGCATCCAGGCTCTGCTACTGGTTATTGACCAGAGAGGTGTCTCAGTCATGTCTACATAGTTCTTGAACCCGTAGGGTCCGCACGCTTAACAATCGATGACGATAGGTATTATATGAGTTATGTGTTTTGGTGACCGAAGGTTGTTCGGAGTCCCAGATGAGATCACGGACATGACAAGGAGTCTCGAAATGGTTGAGAGGTAAAGACTGATATATTGGAAGGTTACATACGGACATCGGGATGGTTCCGGAAAGATTCGGGGATTTTTTGGAGTACCGGGAGGTTACCGGAACCCCCCAGGAAAGTTATTGGGCCTCATGGGCCATAGTGGAGAGGAGGAGGCGGGCCACAAGAGGTGGCGACCCCCATGGCAGTCCGAATTGGACAAGGGGTGGGGGGCGCGACCCCCTTTTCCTTCTCCCTCTCCCCCTCTCCTCTCTCCGTTGGAAGGAAGGGGAGCCGACTAGGACTGGGAGTCCTAGTGGGACTCCCCCCACTTGGCACGCCCCTAGGGTCGGCCGGCCTCCCTCTCCTTCTTTATATATGGGGGCAGGGGGGCACCCCAAAGGCACATTAGTTGTTTAGCCGTGTGTGGTACCCCCCTCCACCGTTTACTCCTCCGATCATATTGTCATAGTGCTTAGGCGAGGCCCTGCGCGGATCACTTCACCAACACCATCATCATGTTGTCCTGCTGGCGGAACTCATCGACTCCTTCGTGCCTCTACTGGATCAAGAGTTTGAGGGACGTCATCGAGCTGAACGAGTGCAGAACTCGAAGGTGCCGTACGTTTGATACTTGACCGGTTGATTCGAGAAGACATTCGACTACATCAATCGCGTTAAGTTAATGCTTCCGCTTTTGATCTACGAGGGTACGTGGACACACTCTCCCCTCTCGTTGTTATGCATCTCCTAGATAGATCTTGCGTGAGCGTAGGATTTTTTTTGAAATTGCATGCTACGTTTCCCAACAGTGGTATCAAAGCCAGGTCTATGCATAGATGATCGTCATACTGCTTACCCCCAATGTCTTATTTTGATTCGACGGTATTGTTGGATGAAGCAGCCCAGACCAACCTTACATGACCCGTTCATGAGACCGGTTCCACCGACAGACATGCAACTAGTTTTGCATAAAGTTGGCTG